GGCGATGGGGATGGCGGTGGGGATGGCGATGGGGATGGCGGTGGGGATGGCGGTGGGGATGGCGGTGGGGGACGCGGCTGGACGAGGCTGCGCGCCGGCGCCCGCACTCCGCCGTCCCCCGTGACGTGGGACCCCCCCCAGGTGTCCTCCCTGAAGGAGCTGGTGGCCCGGGTCGTGCAGCGGCTGTGCGAGCGCGGCGCCAGGAACGTGCTGGCCTTCGGCTTCGCGCTGCTGGACGAGGCCCGCGGCGGCCCGCCCGTGGCCTTCACGACCAGCGTGCGCAGCTACGTGCCCAACACGGTGACCGACGCGCTGCGGGGCAGCGGCGCGTGGGGGCTGCTGCTGCGCCGCGTGGGCGACGACGTGCTCGCCCACCTGCTGGCGCGCTGCGCGCTCTACGTGCTGGTGGCCCCGAGCTGCGCCTACCAGGTGTGCGGGCCGCCGCTCTACGACCTCGTCGCCGCGGGACGCGCCGGCCTCGAGCCCGCGCGCGGGGCCTGGAGCGGCGGCGGCGGGGAGGCTCCCGGCTCTCGGCGGCGTCCGGGCGGCGAGCGGGAAAGTCCGCCTCGGGCCAAGAGGCGCAGGTGCGGCCAGGTCCCGGAGCCGGAGCCGGAGCCGGAGCCGGAGCCGGAGCCGGAGCCGGAGCCGCAGCGAGGCCTCGCCGCGCAGGCGTCCTGGGCCCAGCCGGGCAGGGCGCGCGGGCCGGCCGACCGCGATCCCCGCGCGGTGACACGTACCCGAGCTGCCGGGGCAGCCGCGTCAGGGGAGAGCGCGCCGCGTCGGCCCCGTCGGCCCCTCCGGTTGCTCCCGGGCGAGCGAGCGGCCGGCTGCCCGTCCTCTCGGCGGCCACGTCCCCAGGACGCGCCCGGGCCCACGGCGGTCGCCGACACCAAGCAGTTCCTCTACTGCTCGGGCGGCGGAGAACGCCTGCGCGCCTCCTTCCTGCTCAGCTCCCTGCAGCCCAGCCTGGCGGGGGCCCGGAGGCTCGTGGAGGCCATCTTCCTGGACGCCCGGCCCCCGCCGCCGGGGGCGCCCCGCAGGACGCGCCGGCTACCCGCGCGCTACTGGCAGATGAGGCCCCTGTTCCGGGAGCTGCTCAGGAACCACGCGCGGTGTCCCTACGGCGCGCTCCTCAGGACTCACTGCCCGCTGCGGGCCACGGCCACCCCAGCGGGGTCCGGCGACCATGGGCCCCGCGGAGCAGGCGCCTGCGCCCGGGAGGAGGATGCGGGCCCGCAGCGCCTGGTCCAGCTGCTCCGCCAGCACAGCAGCCCCTGGCACGTGTACGGGCTCCTGCGGGCGTGCCTTCGCCGCCTGGTGCCCGCGGGCCTCTGGGGCTCCAGGCACAACGAGCGCCGCTTCCTGAAGAACGTGAAGAAGTTCGTGTCCCTGGGGAAGCACGCCAAGCTCTCCGTGCAGGAGCTGACCTGGAAGATGAAGGTGCGGGACTGCGCCTGGCTAGGCCGGAAACCAGGTGAGGGGGCGCTGGCGCTGCAGGCCCCGGCCCCGGCGCGCCGGAGGGGTGCTGTGGGCTGGCTCCCTGCCGGCTCTGACTCTGACCTGTCTCCCACCCAGCCTGCGTCAGCCTGCAGGACTTGCGTGGACGCAGGCAGCTCCCGGGCGGCGAGCCGCTGGGACGCGTGGAGCAGGGCTGCGGCACAGCACGGAAATGCGGGGATCTCGGGAGCGCGCCTCCGCGCCATCCACAGCCCCTTTTTTGAGTTCAAGCTTTATCGCCATGAAGTGGTGCCCCACTGGTAGAAATGCAGGCTGGGGCGAGAACCCACTTTTCTGGGGGGTGTGAGATAAAGCTCCCGACTTCGACAGCATCTGGTCAGCCCACGTACAGGCCCCGATTTAAGTGTTCATCGAGCCTCCGCTGTCCGGGGCAGGGCAGGCGAGCGAGTGAAAAGGACCCCAGCCCCGTCTTAGAGGCCAGCGGGGAGCAGAGCGAGCAGCAGGACGCCCTCCCGGGTCAGGAAGTGGACTGCCCCCCGGGTGCTCACAGGGCGTTCCCGAGGCTGGCCTGCGGTGTCTCCCTCCCACCCCCACCCCTTTCCATTTCTGGGCTTGATGGCGCACCCCTTCCCGCCCAGCCCCCTCCCGCCCCCTCGGCAGCACCCTCCCCGTCTGCGTAATCCACTGGCCAAATGCTTCCCCAGGGAACCCACCAAGAGAACAGTGTATTTGGGAAAAGAAAAACAAAGCCACCAAGGAGTGTGTACCCACACTCGCGTGGAAAAAACCCTAAGACCAAAGTGGCGTCCCTCGCCCCAGAAGTTGCCACAAAGTTTAACAGGAAGTCAGGACTAGAGAGTTAAGGGGCTCAGCTCCACCCATGGTCCTCCCAGCTCTGTGGCTAGGCATCTTAAGATGCCAGTTCACTGTTTTATTTTTATTTTTTAAATTAGTTTCAGCTGTACAACACAGCACACTAGTTATACTTTTTACCCCTTAAAGTGACACCCTCCACCCCCAATCCGCCGCCCCCCCACATCATACATATCTATTACAGTTCCCTTGACCCCACTCCCACACTATACCCCACGTCCCATGACTATATGTGTGTGTGTGTGTGTATATATATATATGTATATATATATATATACACATATATATATATTCATTTATAGCTGACATACAATATTATACAACATCAGCTTCAGGTGTACAGTGCAGTGATCAAGCCTCTACCCCATCCATGATGCGGTCTCCCTAGCAAGACGTGACCATCTGACACCCTACAGAATATTCACAACATTATTAATTCTATTCCTCGAACTGTCTTTCATGTCCCTGTGGCAATATTGTAGTTACGTATTTACGCTGTCTAACCCCTTCCCTTTCTCCCTCACCCCCACCCCCTCCCAACTAACAGCCATCAGTTTTTCCTGTGTCTCTGAGACCATTCTGTTTACTTTCCTTGTTCATTCAGTTTTTTAGATCCCACATATAAGTGAGATCTTATGGTATCTGTCTTTCTCTGTCTAACTTATTTCACTTAACATAATAGTCTCTAAGTCCATCCATATCGTTGCAAACGGTATGATTTCATTTTTTATAGCTGAGTAATACTCCATTATATAAATGTACCACAGTTTCTTAATCCAGTCGTCTACCGATGGGCATTTCAGTTGTTTCCAAGTCTTGGCTATTGTGAATAGCGCCGCAATAAACATCGGGGTACATATATTTTTTCAAATTACGTAGAGTCTTGGGTTTCTCTGGATAGATACCTAAGAGTGGAATTGCTGGGTCACACGGAAGCCCCATTTCCAGGTTTTTGAGATACCTCCATACTGATTTCCATAATGGCTGCACCAATCTGCAGTCCCACCAGCAGTGCACCAGGGTTCCCTTTTCCCCACAGCCTCGCCAGCGCTTGTTGTTCGTTGCCAGTTCACTTTTGTCAGGACCAAGGGCCAGGAGTGGACAGGACCAGCCACCCTCTCAGCTCCCCCGACTGAGTAGCGGCAAGAACAGACCTGCGTTTTGCCATGTGACCTCCCACAACCCCTGTGATGCTTGTAGAAAAAAGATGGTTCTGAGCCCTCCATTACAGCCAGGCGTGCCTGCACATCATAGGCTCCTGGGGTGGGGGCCCTAAAATGCCTACCCCCACCCCAAAATATCACAGTTGCAGTGGAGGGTGGGAGGCACGCCCTCAGGCTCCCAAGAGACCCCAGGGCCAGGTGATGGGGACAGCAAGGTGACCTTCCAGCAACTTGGGGGTTTTGTTTTAATAGTAGGGGGAAAAAACCCACATAACATGAAGTCTACTTCTTAACAATGTTGGGGTGTACAGGGTGATACTGCTAAGCAGCAGCAGAGGTGGCCCTCGAATATGCGGGGCTCGGTCGAGTCAGCTGTTGTGTGACTCATTTCATCCTGGGGCTCGGGCTGGGACTGCTCCCCGGTTTCAGACAACGTCTGACTTCAAGGTGGTGTTTTCCTGGGCGGCTGGGACCCAGGCCCTGGACCTCTGTGGTGTCCTCAGTCGCTTGCTATAGGGCATCTGTTCCTTTCGTGGCTTCTGCCATGCAGTTGCCCCCCGGCTGAATAAACGATGCACAGGACAGCCTTAGCCTCAGGCACTTGTTCTGATCGTGGCTGTCCGTGGTCACCTCCGCCACGTCTCCTGCTGGGCACCCCTTTCTCTGTGCAGGCTGTCTGCCCTGCCGAGCGCTCCGTCCACAGCGTCCGGGCTCCTTTGCCAGCCTTGACCATTGTCCTGCCGGCCGTGCTGCAGGCCATCGACTCCCTGTGGCTCCCTGGTCCCCCTTCCTGGAGGCCCGACTATCAGGCTGGCCGTATCTGCTGCTGAGTGTTGCTAGAAACTTGGCAAGACGGACTCCTGTGGGAACTCGGGAGCTGCCTCTCCCCGGCCCCCCTTGGGCTGGTGGCGACCCCTGTCCCCTAACCTGGGCATGCACTGCGCTGGCATACGCTGTGCTCTGCCTCGCACCCCACCACATGATTGCTTTCCCTGAACTGCACCAGGAGTGTCCCTCCTGCCCAGGCCGCCTGGACCTGCACAGTGGCGTCCAGGTGGGGCCTTTATTGGGGCTTTGTTTGGAATTCTGGCAGTTTCTCCGACGGCTGTGTCCTTTGCTTGCATCAGCTCTGCTCTGACCTCTGACCTCTGGCGTGCGTTGCCCTCCGTCCTGCTCAGTGACACCCGTGCTCTGATGTGTGGCTCACAGTTTGATATTGACTGCATTTCAGTTTTTTGTATAATAGTTTCTTCTATCATCTCTTTGACCAGTGAGTTACTTAGACATGACTTTCATTTTCCAAATGCATGGACGTGTTAAGTTATCTTTTTTTTTTTTTGAAGATTTTTTTATTGGGGAATTGGGGGAGGGAACAGCGCTGGGGAATTGGGTAAGGGGAACAGATAAGTTGCTGTCCTTTTGTTCTTCAGTCTAGTTGTGGAGGACGTTGCTTCACTGGCCCATGTTGATATTATCATTGCGCTCTTCCTGGGTGAGGCAGATTGCTCGCCGGCCATTGGACGGCTGCTCACAGCAGCTCACACCTGCTGCCGGCCAGCCCCACTGCAGCCTACGCCATTGCCGGTGACTCACGGCAGCCCAGCTCCAGGTTGAGCTGTTGTTCACCATCTTAGCTGTAGAGGGCGCAGTGTCACTGGCCCTCAATGTGGGATCTGAACCGGGGCCCTGCTGCTCAGAGCTGGCATCCCAAGCCAACTCTTAACCAACGCGCCACTTGGCCAGTCCTTAAGTTATTTTTGTTGCCAATTTCCAGCTCAGTTGTGTGGTGTCTCAGTGATCCCAGGTATCTGAAATGTGCAGACCTGCTCTGGGATCTCCTGCGTGGACAGTCCTCACCGGTGCCTCTTGTGCCCTGAGGCCGGGGTGGGGTCTGTGTCACTGCGTCAGATGTGTTGCCGTGCCGTGAGAAACCCACGTGCCCTCCCGGTGATGGGCGCTAAGTGGTGTGCGTCTAGCTCGGCGTGTGCCCAGCTCCTGTTCTGACAGTGTTCCCGTGGTTTTGTGAGACGCACGCACCATTTAGAAGGTTTATCTTCTTGACAAATGTCTAGTGATTCTTTCTATCTTAAAGCCTGTTTGATGCTCGTAGGACGGCTGCACTGCCTGCCTTTTGGTTGTTTACATCTTCTACTGTTTTTCGTCCTTTAACTTTTATCTTGAACCCTTTCCTATCCACGTAGCTGACGTTTTATGTTTGACCCAGCCAGTCCTTCCCGCTTTCCCGGAGATGGACTTGTTTGCGTTTCTCGGTGATCGCAGACTTGTCTGTGTGTTTTCCTTCTGCCTGCCTTTCCCACGTCCTGACTCCTCATTTCCTGGCCGACTGCAGCTCCTACTGTGTGTTCTCCGTCTGGTTTTGCCTCCCAGCAGCTAGAATTTCTATTCCCTTGTCTTGTCCTGGACAGCATGAGGCCTCAGTATCCCTTAGCCTGGTCGCCTTTCCCGCCTGTGTGCTGTTGCCCGCCTACGCTGCTTACGTCCCCACTAGACACGCTGTGTTCTCTGCTCCTTTAGCTGTACCCCGTCATCTTTGTTCACCGTTCTGCCTTCCGCCCCAGGCCTGCCCCTGGGTCCCTTCTCCTTTCCGTGCTGCTCTCTGCCGTGGCCCCGTGGCAGCCTGGCGACACCCGTGGACCCTGGGTCACGGTGTTTCCAAGTGCACAGAATGAAATGCAGAGGCCCCCAGAGAAGGACAGCAGTCGTGGCCCGCGGCATGGGGCGCCCCTTAGCTGGTGTGTCACTGCCTCCACTCGCCGGGCTGTTGAGCCTGGAGAGCCCCAGGCCTTTGGGGACCGTGCTGCTCAGTGACGATGCCTGAAATCGTACGGACCGGCACCCAGCTGTGTCCCGGCGTGGAGCGTGTCTCTACACTCTCCGTCCTGCTCCACGTCATCGCTGTCTAGTGGAAGTGTATGGGGGCACGTGTATTTAAAATGTTCTGGTGGCCACGTTAAAAACGTGAAAAGCAATGAAACTGATCAACAAGACGTTTTACAAAAGCCCCACATACCCGAGACGCTCTCACTTGAGCAGTCTGTAGGCACGTCACTCATTCTTCCTGTGTGTGCCTCTCGGGGACCCTGCCCGTGGCGCCAGCAGCCGGTCTGGCCCCCACATGTGCGTGTCAGGCGCCCCCGGCAGCAGCACGGGTGGGCGTGAGCTGAGCCCTGCCCCTCTGCTCTCAGGGGGCCGCCCTGTCCTGGCCGCTGAGCACCGTCGGAGGGAGGCGCTGCTGGCCAAGTTCCTGCGCTGGCTGATGGGCACGTACGTGGTCGAGCTGCTGCGGTCCTTCTTCTACGTCACGGAGACCGCGTTTCAGAAGAACCGGCTCTTCTTCTTCCGGAAGAGCGTCTGGAGCCAGCTGCAAAGCATGGGCATCAGGTGTGGCCGGTGGAGCCTGGCGCCGCTGGGTTCTCCGTCTCAGTCCCGCCCCGCCCGGGGCCCAGCGCCCCGCCACGCGCCGCGCCTGCAGCCCCCCTTTCCTTACCTGCAGTGTTGGGTTGGAGCTAGATGACCTCTAGGGTCTCGAGAGCAGGAACAACGGTGCCAGCAAACCGCTGGCCTGTCCCTGCCCGTGGTCAGATGGTCAGATTCTATTTTAATTCACTCAGAATAAGTGAGGTTTGTGTCACAAGATGATGAAACCTGCCCACTTGACCACTCACTGTGGAAAGTGGGGACAGGCGTCCTGCTGTGAAGCAGAACCCTGAGGCAGAAACTTCCAGAAGGTTGACTTGCCTCTGAGGGGATTTGTCTCAGCTGCCCAGCGGCTGTTTTGGGTCCGTCGTGAATGACTGTAGTCAGCGTAAGCTGGGTGGGACCCCGTCAGGTTAGGGACGTGTCGGCCGACAGACAAGCCCTCCTCTCTGGGGCCAGCCTGGCTGAGGCACCCTGTGTCCTCAGCTCAGCGAGGACCCTGAAGTGGCCACAGCAGGACCTCCGTGCACGCGCAGGTTGAACCTGAGCCCTGGACGCTGGGGCCTGTGTCCTGGACAGGACTGGAGGCCTTGATCGTGGGTCTGAGTCGATACGCGGTGCACTCTAATAATTGAAGTAATTCATGGTGTGTGATCCAAAGCTGCCATTCAGACTCACCGTGGGGACCGTGGGATCGTCACCCTCTCCGGTGGGCATTCGTGTCCTATGTCCTATGATGGACAGCACTCTCTGACCTGCCTTTGCTGCTGGGGCCATGGCCCACGAGCATCCTTGGCCAGCCCCTCCCTGTGGGCGGCCGCAGGAAAGGCCGGCAGGGAGCTGGCGATCCCGGGGAGACGGTTCTGCTCCTCTCAGCTGTACCGAGTAGCTCCCCGCTCACTCCACGTGGCAGAGCATGGGGTCTTTCGCTCAGGGGTCCCATCCCAGCCTGCCCTACACAGGACTGCACAGAGGGAGCCTGTGTTCTGGGCCCGCGGGAAGGGCAGCCCAGCGGCATCGGGTCAGCGTGTTCGTGCAGTCTGGACCGTGCCGCCCTCACAGGTGACCCCCCTGGGTTCCCGCATGGCCCTGAGCCACGTCCCACACGGCTCTCTGTTTCAGACAGCACTTCGATAGGCTGCAACTTCGAGAACTGTCGGATGATGAGGTCCAGCAGCTTCGGGAAGCCAGACCGGCTCTGCTGCAGTCCAGACTCCGGTTCCTCCCCAAGCCCAGTGGGCTGCGGCCTATCGTGAACATGCACTACGTCGCGGGAGGCAGGACCTTGCGCAGAGACAAGAAGGTCACCGCCTCTGTTTCATTTTCTAAGCAAAGTGCATTGACCATAGGCGTGGTGTCCCGTGTCCAGCCCGGAGGCCACGCAGGGTGGGCCGAGCGCCGTGAACGGCTGTGCTCACAGGAGGGCCAGCCCTCGAAGCTGCGGAACAGGCTCCGGGAACCCACAGACACGGACTAGTGGCACGAGGGACCCACGTGGTGACTGGGGTCCTGCTGTAGTATGGGGGTGTGCTCTCCAAAATCGGGGCAGAAGGAGCCAGGCCCGGACCCCGTGGGAGCTCACCCCGTGGTCAGCACCCCATCCCTTCACAGCATGTCTGTCTGTGTCTGACCGCTTCCAAGTGTCTCTTTGTAGTGTTTGGGGGTGATTTTGTCATATTGGTGCCCCCAAACAAGAAAGTACAGTTGTCTGTAGGTTAGGGACCTGGTGTGGTCTGGGAGTAAAGATGGGCTCCCTGTCGATGGGGTCGGGGTCCCCAGGAGGCAGCTCCCCTCCCCGTCTGGTGGGGGAGGGGGTCCCACGTGCAGGTAGCTGTGGTTTTAGTCATGGCTCTGGGATTCCAGGAAGGGTCCCTGTGAGTGAGGTGGACGTGGGCAGGTCAGCCATCTGGCCCTTCCCGTGTCTGAGGGGAGCTGGGTGGCGGGAGAGGCACAGAGGTGGAGCTGTCCCTGTCCCTGTCCCCAGCACTGGAGGTGGGTGGGGCAGTCAGGCCCCAGGTCCCCTGGGCTGGGAGCATCGCCTGATGCGGCCACTGTCCTGGGCCGGCCCCACAGGTGCAGCATGTCATCTCGCAAGTCAAGACGCTGTTCAGCGTGCTGAACTACGAGCGGGCACGGCGGCCCGGGCTCCTGGGCGCCTCCGTGATGGGCCTGGACGACACCTACCGCGCCTGGCGGGCCTTCGCGCTGCGCGTGCGCACCCAGGACCCTGCTCCTCAGCTGTACTTCGTCAAGGTGGGCGCCCCACTCCAGTCCCTCTGGCCCGCCCCCAGGGAGCCAGCTCCACACGGGACCTCGGTGACCCCGCCTTCGCTTTGGGGGTCTGGGGGTGTGGGGCACAGCCAGCCTTCTTCAGGCCCCATGTCTACCTGGGTTGGGAGCACCGAGGGGTAGGCGTCCCGTCTGCTGGGTGTACCCAGCTCCCGAGGACAGAAGCTGTGAACCGTCCCAGCTGGTGTGGCCTCTGACTGCACTCTGACTCCATGGGGCTGCTCTTGGGGGGCGGGATCTGACACTGCCACCTGCTCAGCTCACGAAGTCCAGGTGCCCTAGAACTCACCAGGTGCCTGCTGGTCACCAGCGTGCACTCAGAGGGACCCGGCCCACTCCGGGGTGTCACAGTCTGGGGGATGTGGGGTGTAGAGACGGACCCAGGCCCATCTTGGGGTGACAGTCTGAGGGGCGTGTGTGGCTGGGACGGTGCTGTGGGCGGGGAGTTCAGGGGCTCCCGGGTCCCGCTGTGTCCTCGTCACCCTAGAGTTTGCTAAGGGCAGGTCGGGGCCCAGCTCGGCAGGGCAGAATGGGCAGACCTGGGACACGGCGGGCCGAGGTGGGTGCGTGGGCAGCCTGCAAACAGCACCTCCGTCCACGTAGGTCGACGTGACGGGGGCGTACGACACCCTCCCTCAGGACAGGCTACTGGAGGTCGTGGCCAACGTGATCCAGCCCCCAGAGCACACCTACTGCACGCGCCACTACGCCGTGGTGCAGAGGGCGGCCCACGGACACGTCCGCAAGTCCTTCAAAAGACACGTACGGCCCAAGGGGTGTGACAGTGACAGGAGCATCTGTCCCTGCTGCCTGGCCTGTCCCCGGCCGCTCACTTCTGTGCTGGAGGAGCCGCTGTCCTCTCATCCTCATGCTCTTGCTCACGTCACATTCAGGCCTCTCTTCAAGCCGCTCCCGCCTGCTGTCCCTTCACAGGGCCCCTGGGACCGCTCACGGGTTTGGGCAGAGGAGGGACATGGGCGGCTGCAGAGCTGTGCACGTGTTTCAGTGCTGTCCCCGTGGCCGCTCCCCTAGGAGCCCACACCTGGCCGGTGGCTGCACTGTGGGGCCAAGTGCTCCGTGGCCGGTGTCTCGCCGGCCACTTCTCCTCACAGTGGCCTTAGGCCTCAGGGACGCTGGGAAAGGACGACGGTTTCGGTCAACGTGGGGGTCCCTGAGCCGTCTTCGTGAGCGTGTTGGAGTGTGAGGCACCCAGCCCCTCAGTGCAGTGCCGTGGGGAAGGCAGGAGCTGCTGTTCCCCAGAGATGCTTGGGAAGGGCGTGCGTGAAGAGCCCCGGCCGGGGTCGAGCGCCTTTCACGCACACGTCTTGTCTTGCGGACACCTGTTCAGGTGGCCTCCCCACACGTGTTCTGGGCTCATGTCCTCCGTCACATGTGTGTCTTGCAAATGTCTTGGTTTGTCTTGCCTTTTCAGTCGCAAGTGGAGTCTTGATGAACAGATTTTAATTTTAAAGAAGTCCACTTTTCCACCGTTTATGGCTCCAACTGTGTTCTGTGTAAAAAACCTGCCCCCAAGTCATGACGTCATTCTTGTGCTTTCTTTTAGAATGTTTACGGCTCTAGCTTTCACATTCAGGCCTGGGTCCATTCTGAATTAATGTTTGTGTGTGGTATTCTCTTTTTTTTTTAAGATTGTATTCGGGAGTTGGGGGAGGGGAACAGCATTGCGGAATCAGGGAAGGGGACAGACAAGTTGCTGTCCTTTTGTTCTTCAGTCTAGTTGTGGAGGACGTTGCTTCACTGGCCCATGTTGGTATTATCATTGCGCTCTTCCCGGCTGAGGCAGATCGGTCGCTGGCCCTTAAACGGCGGCTCACGGCTGCTCACACTGGCTGCCGGCCACACACTGCAGCCTACGCCGATGCCGGCGACTCACAGCAGCCCAGCTCCAGGTCGAGCTGTTGTTCACCATCTTAGCTGTAGAGGGCAGTGTCACTGACCCTCATGTGGGATCCGAACCGGGGCCCTGCTGCTCAGAGCTGGCGCCCGAAGCCAGCTCCTAACCAGCGCGCTGCCCGGCCGGCCCGTGTGTGGTGGTGTTACCCTGCCCTGCTGCTCACATCCGGACTTCCGGTTCACTGAGTTTCTCTTTTTCTGTCTCTAATCCTTCACTAAATCCATTTACTGAATTCTCCAGTCCAGCTATTCTATTTTTCAGTTCTAGAAACCCCATGTAAGTTTTCTCATGGATTCTGGGTGTCTGGTGAAAGTCTCCATCTTCTCCCTTGTTTTATTGGTTCTCCCATCTTCGTTGATTTTCAAATCCGGTAAATCAGTAGCCACCTTGGCTGCGGTGGGTTCCTGCCGTGTGTTTCTGCTGTTTACTTGAGGGTTGGTCACGCAGGCCAGTTCTTCAGCACGCCTTGTTGTTTTTCCCATGAGTTGCCTGGCTTTTGAATAAACACATGTAAAGCATAGGTTTTGCATAACGTTTACTTCCAGAGAGGACAGCATCCTTCTGACACTTAGAGTTAGGGATGGCCTTCATCCTGGGTTGTCTTTAGACTGTGCGGGGCTGGTTTCTGTCACTTTCCCTGCCCTGGCTGTGGCCTGCTGCCATCTCACCTGAGGGCAGGTGTGAGCCCCTGTGGGCCGGGCTCCCCTCAGCCCCTCGCCCCAGCTGGCTGAGCGCCGGCCAGAGGAGGAATCTCTCAGTTTGGCTCCTTTCTCTGTGGCCTCATTCCCCCGGGATCCAACCCTCAGTCCCAGCTGCTTTGGTGGCCCTGAACCCCAACTGTCTTCAGTCATAGCCCCCATTTCTGCTCAGGCTGCACCTCCCACAGTGGGCTAGGCAGGCCTCAGGGAGACGTCGGGGTGGATGTGGGATGCGCCCCAGTACTGGACCCGAGCCCCCCTGTGTCCTGCCTCTGCAGCCCCGCCAAGCAGCTTCATCTGCGTCTTGTCGGGCGTAGCAGTCACTGGGGAGGTGACCGGAGGTGCCATCCCCTGAGGTCTCGTCACACTGTCCTGCTCCCCAGCACCTCCGTTGCCCCTTTCCCAAACAAGCTGCGTGGCAGGGCCTCCCAGGTTTGTCCCGACCCCGACTCGGTCTTCCGTGATGGGACTGCCGCTTGTCGGTGCCCCAGCCGGGGCTCGGGGAGGGTGGCACCACCGCCTCACGCCCCGTCCTCTCGCCCGCAGGTGTCCACCTTCATGGACATCCAGCCTTACATGAGGCAGTTCGTGCAGCACCTGCAGGAGACGAGCTCGCTGAGGGACGCCGTGGTCATCGAGCAGGTCAGTGTGGACGGGTGCCCGGCTCACCGCCGGGGACGGGGGGCGTGGACACGGGGCCACCCGGTGGCCGGGAGGGACTTTCTCTTCCTGCCGCCTCGCCGAGTCCTGTGCTGCTGCGCTGCCTCACTAAGGTTTGCGAGAGACGTCTTCTCCCGCAGTTTTCATCTTGAGGCCAAAAGAAAATGTCCTTTAGGAGGACACGTTGGTTTTGACCCCGTGGGCCCCCCCCCCCAGAAGGACTCAGCGAAACCCGTTTCTCTCACACGTGAGCAGAGATGGGTCCTGAGTCCATGGCTGTTCACAGAACCGGTTTTAGGGTCAGGCCGGTCCACCCAGTGAGGCTCTGAGACCTCTGGACACCTTCCTTTGGCCACCAGGGGCCGCCCACGTGTCACAGTCACAGTGTGTGGCGTAGGTGTCTGGGCCCGTGAGCCCAGCCAGAACCACAGAAGACCCAGAAGTGCGGCCCTTCCATGCACTCCCCCGCGGTTCCGCCCACCTCCCATCTCCCCCTCCCCCGCCACACACACACACCCCTCCTGCTCTTCCAGAGCTGCTCCCTGAACGAGGCCAGCAGCAGCCTCCTGGATTTCTTCCGGCACCTGCTGTGCAGCCATGTCATCAGGATTGGGGGCAAGTGAGTCGGGGCTGCCTGCTGCCACCCCCGTAGGAAGGGCCGCGCCACGTGGCAGGGCTTCCCGGGCGGGATGGCGTGTGTGACGTGAGCACGCATTCTCCCCTTCCACCTCATCCCCCCAGGTCCTACGTCCAGTGTCAGGGTGTCCCCCAGGGCTCGGTGCTGTCCACCCTGCTGTGCAGCCTGTGCTACGCGGACATGGAGAGCAAGGTGTTCCCTGGGATCCAGCGCGACGGGTAAGGGTGCTGGCCTCGGCGCGTGGCTGCTTCCCCCCCTCGCACTCTGGGCCCCTGGACACAGGCAGGGCGCCCCTGCTTCACAGCAGGTCCCCGGGCGTGGACTGAGTGGCCCCGCGTCCTGGGCCGTGCGCTGTGCTGGCCTGAGCTCCGGCCCTCTGCCCTCCGTCCCAGCCAGTGCGGGTCCCACGGAGACGTGACGTCACTGTCCTGCGGGTGTGGGCGCCCCTCCCGCCTGTCTCCTCTAGGCTGCTCCTGCGCCTGGTGGACGACTTCTTACTGGTCACCCCTCACCTGACACACGCGAAGGCCTTTCTCAGGTAAGAACCCACGCACGTGTGTCTGCGGGTGCTTTTGTGGCCACACACACCTGTCCTTACCCACGTACAGCTGTCACCTCGTGCCCGTGCTCTGCTGAGGGCACGTGGCAGTCGTGCTGGGCTGAAAGCTGGCGGGCGGCCGAGCTCTGCGGAGCCTGGGGTCAGCGTGCTGTCGGGGCGCAAGCCCCACAGAGGGAGCGTGTGTTGCTCTGGCGTTGGGGCCGGGCTGGGGCCCCGAAGGCTCCTTGGAAATTCTGCGCACGCGACGCGCTGGACGATGTTGGGGGCAGTGACACTCCCGGAGGCTGTGGCTATGAAGGGAAACCCAGGAGTGGACCCTCTGTGCCTCCGTGCAGTCACCTTTCTCTGTGGTGGTCATTGGGGTCATGGGAGGAGGACAGAGAACGTGACGGGGCACGGGGTCTGTGGGGGCCTGGTCGTAACGTTTGTGCTGTTTAAGGTGAAACCAGACCAGCAGGGCCCTTTCCTCAGCATGACCTGTCAGGCATCGGTCCCCCTGGGGCCCCAGGAGTCGGGCTTGTTTTAAAGCTGGTTTTCCAAGGGAGGAGATTAGAAAACAGGAGCCTCGGAAGAGTGGCCGCCCGAGGGACGGTTCCCTTTGGTCTCTGGGCTGTCTTTGGAAAACCTATCTGGATGGCGTCCCCGGAGCCCACGTCCCCCGGGGGTCCTCAGGGCTCAGGGCACGCATCCTGCTGACACACAGTGGCCCTCAGACAGGATGCCAGCAAGTGGCAATTCACCAAAGTTAAATGCCACCCAGGTCCTCTGGCACCGGCCACGTTCAAAGACGTCCGTAGCCACGTGCAGCCAATGACTGCCAGAGGGCACGGCACAGACAGGGAGTGTGGCCCCTGTCATGGACCGTCTGGGGGGCGCTGCTGCTGTGAGGGCGTTGGGCAGGGAGGTGGTGGCTCAGAGTGGACCGCTGGGGACAGATAAACAGAGCTATCGCAAGGAGTCCACCATGTGACAGTGAAGGCTGGCGAGGCTGTCAGATCCGCAGGGCAGCGGCAGGGCGGCCAGGCGCTGAGGCCGTGGTCCCCGTGGAGACCGTCTCCACGCTCGGGACACCCGGCTTCTGCTCTCTGGGCCTTCCCACCGATGGCTGCTCCGTCCCTGCTGTGGAATGCAACCTGTAAAGCCGACCTCACCTACAAATCAGCACGCAAGGCTAGGGGCCGTGGCCTCGCCACGTGGACACAACTGGCCCTTGCAGGCCAGGTGCCATCCTGGACCTGCCCTGCCTGTCCCGGTTCCCAGCCTGGTGCCTGAGTTCATTGCTCACCTGTCTCACCTGCGGACGGGATTCACTGGCGTCCACCCGGTCTCAGGATTCAGCCCGTCCCTGGGGTTTCCATGCTGCCCTCCCCTGGCGGCCACCCTGGTCTCTTAAGTTCATCGGGTCGCCCACCTCCTCCCGGCGTTGATGTGGCCCCTGTGCTTCAGGACCCTGGTCAGGGGCGTGCCCGAGTACGGCTGCGTCGCGAACCTGCGGAAGACGGTGGTGAACTTCCCCGTGGAGGACGGCGCCCCGGGCGGCGAGGGCCCCCTGCAGCTGCCAGCCCACTGCCTGTTCCCCTGGTGCGGCCTGCTGCTGGACACGCGCACACTGGAGGTGCTCTGCGACTACTCCAGGTGAGCGCCGTGGGGAACGGCTCCGTGTGCGCAGGCAGCCGCGGCCCCAAAAGGCCAGGCTAGGGAGCTCGCCAGGCGCGCAGCTGTCTGCATGTGGGGAGAAGGAAGCTGTGTGCGGGCTCAGGGCCCAGCCCATGGGGAGGCCGTGCAGGTCTGAGCCCAGAGGTGTCAGGTCCTGGTGGACACAGGTGTGTTCATGGAGCAAGCACACATCTCAGAGCCTGTCCACAGCCTCACTGGACATCACGGGTTCATGGCCACCTCTGATCTGTCAGGGGGCAGGACAGTGGCACCGTGGGTCCCTGCCTTAGTTTGGGCTGCCGTATAAACTACCAGAGACCGATGGCTTGAACCACAGGCGTCCGTTCGCTCCTTGTCCTGGAGGCTGGAGTCAGAGATCCAGGTGTGGGCAGGCTGGTTCTCATGAGGCCTTTCCTTGACTCGTAGACAGCCACCCCCTCCTCGCGCGCTCGCACGGCTGCCCCTGCCCCGCGCCCCCTGCCTTTAAGCATCTCGGGTGTGTCCCTCTTATGAGAAGGACACCAGTCACATTGGATCAGAGCCCCACCCTCGTGGCCTCATGTAACCTCAGTCCCCAAACACAGTCACACAGGGAGAACTTGGGGGACACAGTTCAGCCCTAGCAACCTGTGTTCCCCTGAATCTAAGAGCTCGCAGCCCAGCCTCAGGCCCAGCACAGATGTGGACGGACTCAGCGGGCACAGCCACGTCATGAATGAAAAGCGCCGACTCCAAAGCGGAGGAGGGTGGGGCGGGGGGGATCTCCTTTCCTTGTGTTGGAAATCCCAGCTGTTCTGCGTGGATGCACAAGGGGCTCCTTGGAAATTGGCTGGGTCATGCCGAGAACGTGTCTGAGGGGCGTCCTCTCCGGGGAGAAACCGCAGGGTGCGTGGATGGACACACATGTGTAGACGGCAGGGGCTCAGGTGGACCCGCGCGCATCACGGGACCCGTGTGTTGCAGTTACGCACGGACCTCGATCAGAGCCAGCCTCACCTTCAGCCGGGGCTTCAAGGCCGGACGCAGCATGCGTCGCAAGCTCTTCAAGGTCTTGAGGCTGAAGTGTCACAGTCTGTTCCTGGACCTGCAGGTGAGCCCTCAGCCAGCGGGCAGCTCACAGACCTCGGAGCTCAGACGCCCTGTGGCTCAGAGTCTACCTGCGGAGCCTGCGTGGTTCACAGCTCCGTTGTGTATTGTGTGTGCAGTGCGCACACGTGCGTGTATCCAGGAGCCCCTGCCCATCTTAGCCGTAGGGCCCTCCTCGCAAGGTGTGGGGGTCAGGGCCTCGGGGGGCGCTGGCTCCAGAGCCTCGGGGCCCCAGGACATCCGCCTGGCTGGGCTCAGCGCACGCCTGCTCTCCCTTCCCTCCAGCTGCCCCTGCGGAGTCCCAGCCACACCCAAGGCAGCGAGGGGCTGCGCGGGGAGCTGGTGGGGCCTCCCTGGAGGGAAGATGGCGTCTCGCTCCATGTGAGCGGGTAAAGCAGAGGTGGAGATTGAACCTGCAGGCGTGTTTCCCGTGTCCCCTATTCCTGTGTCTCCAGGTGAACAGTCTTCAGATGGTTTGCACAAACGTTCACAAGATATTCCTGCTGCAGGCCTACAGGTGGGCTGCTCGGCGTGCTGTGGGGACTGTCCCGTACCCCAGCTCATGGGTGGTCACAAAGCTGCTTCCTCGTGCGCGTCCATGTTGGCTCTGCTGCTTTTGAGGTCCTGTTCCCAGCCACCAGGAAGGCCAGGGTGGCCCGGCGGTCCCCACGTCCCTGTGTGCTGGCCTGTCCTACAGCAGAAGGGGGGCTTGTGGAGCGTGAGGAAGGCAGCCCCACGCGGGGGTGGGAGGCAGGCGCCTGGGGGGACCCAGAGAACAGATGGCTTTGCTGTTCCTCGGGAAGACGGACAGCACCCTAGTCACCTGCCCACCTGCCTCGGGACAGAGTGGGCATCACTCAATGGTCTCCAGGGAGACTGGCCCCTGGGCAGCTCAGGGAGGAGCCACCTGGAAAATGCTCTGCCCAGAGTCTGAGTCGGGCTGGTGGCTGTGAGCTGAGGGCGGATGAGGGGTCCACAGCCATCTCCCCGGAGACAGGGAGCCTTTGAGTCTGTGTTACCAGGTTCCTTTGAGACAAGGTCGTGTCTCAGGAACTGGACAGGGCTGTTGGAGGACCTGTCACACCAGGAAACTGCTTTCAGCCCCGGGGGCCCGTGCCCTGTGGTCCCACCACGCGGGCCATGCGTGCCCTTCCGTTGTCCCGTTGGCCAGGCCCCATGTTCAGCACCTCTGCTCTCTGTGTCGCATACCTGCCTCGACCTGCGTCGTCCTCCCTGGAAATGTGCTGAGTGTGAACCTGCCCACAGGCCACTCGCAGCTACAGATGAGGTGGCCGTGACACCTCGCTGCTCAGGCCCTCAGCCCCAAGTCCCTGGGGCCATGTCACCTCGCCCGCCGACAGCCCTGCCCGTGTTCAGCCCGGCCTGGCCGTATCCCCACCAGGGGATCCTGTTGCTCAGCGGGGCCCTGGCCCCGGAAACCTGCCGGCCAGGGAACGTTGTAGAGACCTGGGCTCAGGACAGGCGTCCCCACCCACTGGCGTAAATGTTGGCTGTTTCCAAACATGGGCGGTTAGGCTCACAGGAGGTCTGAGGCCCTGTGCCCTCCATGGCAGGACAGGGGATGTGGAGCTGGGCCGTGATGGTCATGGCAACCGGGGCTGCGGCAGGTGAGGCTGGGTGATGTGCCTGGCGCTCAGAGCAGGACACTCGCCAGGCACTGTCTGTCTGTCTGGTGCCCGCGGGCTTAGCTCTGTTTTCGTCCGAGTGTGGGCTCCGGGCCGGGCTGTTGGGAGATAACAGCATCCACGCGTGGAGGCCTCTCCCTGCTGCACTGAGCTCCCCCTGTCCCTCCGGAGAAGGTGGCCCACCTGCAGAACGTGTGCTCCTCTCAGGCCAAACAGGTGCATGTTTCCAGACCTGGGTCCCTTCTCCTGTAAGTGGGGATGAGGGTGACCGTCAGAGAGGTCAGACTGCTGGCTGGACGGACACGTGCACATGCTTCCAGAAAGGGCCCGGGCAGTCGGTGAGCCCGGAGCACGGGCGCCTGGCGGGGGCTGGTCGTGTGCCCATGCCCACGTGTGCACATGTAGAATGTGGACACGTGGCTGTGTGCGTACCTACACGTACAGACAGACGGACGCCGGCACATGCACACACACACATGCACATTGCGGCCAGGAGGCTTTCCTGATAAATTTTTTCCTGATAAACAGGTTCCACGCCTGTGTGCTCCAGCTCCCGTTCAATCAGCAAGTTCGGAAGAACCCCGCGTTTTTCCTCCGTGTCATCTCGGACACCGCGTCCCGCTGCTACGCCCTTCTGAAAGCCAAGAACACAGGTTTGCGCAGGGGACCCAGGGCTGGGCTGGCAGGTGTCAGGGTCACGCATGGTGCTGGGAACACAGGATGCTTACCTCAGGCTTCCAACACAGCTGCCGTGCGCCCTGAGCGCCCGCGGCCCTGGCATCACGGAGATCGGAGACGGAGTTGGGGTTCTTGACGCTTCTGGCACTGACCTCATGGCACCCGTCCTCCGCTGGGTGGGCAGGTGTCCTTTATGATTGGAACGTGATGGGACATTTGGGAATAGGCGGGCAGGACCTCTCCCTGGTGCTCGGGACGCTTGCCCGTCTCGGGAAGGAACACGGGCCGGCCACTCCGTCTCTGCCTCAGGGCCCAGCCTCCCTCCACATGGCCTCGCTGTGTCCCCGTGGTCCTGAGGTTCACAGACTTCTGTGGAAGTTTCTCTGGAGAAGTTGAAGAAAACATTTCAGTTGCCAGAATTCCACAGTGCTTATGTTGGAGCTGCCCCTGAAATGAAGTCACCCATTTGTCCCCTGCTCCTGCCCTCAGCCTGGCCGGGACCCCTAGTCTCCTGTGCGGAGCGCTGGGGCGTGGGCCGGGCGGGGGCTCAGCCTCCCCTGTGTCCCCCTAGGGATGTTGCTGGGGGCCAAGGGCGCCGCCGGCCCGTTTCCTTCCGAAGCCGTGAAGTGGCTGTGCCTCCACGCCTTCCTGCTGAAGTTGTCTCGTCACAGCGTCACCTACAAGTGTCTCCTGGGGCCGCTCCAGGCAGGTAAGCGTGGGCAGAGTGGGCCCAGCCCCAAGGTGCCCGTGGTGCAGGTGCAGGCCCGTCCTCGTCCTTGAGTGTCGGCCCCTCCGTCGCAGTCACGGGTGGGCGGGCCCAGGAGCTGCCAGGTGCCAAGTGTGCGCCCGCCCAGTCACTTCACCTCCGCCCAGGACCACGTTCCCTCCGTCTCCTCTAATCCCGCTACCCGCGTGCCCTTCCACGCACCCCTGGCCTGTCCTTGAGCCGTGCCCGCTGTGCCCTGACGCCCACAGCCTGCTCCCTGGCCACATGGGCACATGCCTCTTGCTGAGGTTCCCAGCACCTGGAGCCTGGCCTGCACACAGTAGGTGCCCAGCCGGCACACAGTAGGTGCCCAGCACACAGCCGTCCCGCCTGGCGCCTCAGCGGGCCCGTGAGGCTGGCGTGACGCACGTTCTCGGTTTCTTCCGGGAGGAAGGCTGACGTTGGTCGTCTCCACGCAGCCCAGTCGCAGCTGTGCCAACAGCTCCCGAGGGCGACACTGGCCACCCTGCAGACAGCAGCTGACCCTGCCCTGACCGCAGACTTCAAGACCATCTTGGACTGATGGCCGGGCTGGGCTTGGGCCCTTGACCCCATCCCAGCTGGACCCACCCAGAGGGTCTGGCCCCTGTGCCCCGAGACGCCAGGACGCGTGCTGCTGGCCGGGCTGCTCCCGGGAGGCGTCAGCTCCCGGCGTCAGGGAAGCAGCGCCTGTCCCCAGTCCCACTTTCTGGTCACATTTCATCGTTCAACTGCCAGCCACCAGGAGGGGGCAGTTGGGAGAGCCTGAGGGCGTTGGTGTCTGGAAAGGGAGTGTCAGGGACCTTTGTCACCCCTCTTTGTGGGGTCACCCCAGGCTAGAGCAATGGCCCACGTGTAGGGGAGCGGCTCCTTCCTGCTGACATGGGCAACACCCGAATCAAGCTGCCACGCCCTCCTAGAGCAGCACCCCACCCCCGGCTGATCCCCCAGCCGCATCCAAAGCACATCCAAAGTCCGCACCTCAGGGCGCCTCCATCAGCCAAAGGCCCAGTCAGCTGTTCCGCGCGGGGCACACCCACGCCTCTGATCTCACCTGTCCCGGCGCCCTGTCAGGCCTCCTGGAGCCAAGTGTCCTGCACACCCCACCCGTCCACCGCCCGCACTTGCAGACTCGCCTGCTGGTCCACTCGGCACGTGACCTCCCATGACCCCTCCTGCACGGCCACCACCCCAGTGATGGGTGTGGGGAGAGCTGTGGAAAGAAAAAAACAAGCCTGTTTATTGTTTTCAAAGTGTCATTTCTCCTTCTTTTGTGTTAAAATGCTATGTCAGTGCTGTTCTCTATAAGTATAAGCACAGGAGTTTGGGTGCGTGGTGTGCACGGGTCCTGGGCCTGGCGGGTGGAGGGGTTTCCTGGGGTAAGGATGAGGGGAAGGGGCAGGTGCAGCCCCGCCTACAGCTGACTGGCCCAGCTTGGGGGTGACCTGCGAGGTGAGGCAGCAGGTTTCAACCTGAGCTCTGGGTCCCCTGGGCCTGGAACCATACACACTTGGGGGGCTGCCCCCCAAGTTTCCAGTTCAGCAGGTCTGGGGTGGGGAGTTTGCACTTTTAACAAGGTGTTAATGCTGCTGGCTGGCAGGTTGGGGGCCCCACACAG